ACAATCTTTTCTTTTGATAAAAAATGTCAAAATCTAATACTAAAAAAAGAACCAAACAAACTCAACAAGAAGACATCGCTGGGTAAGTGTTTTAAGGATGTTGGTGGTGGTTATCGCTTGCCACTCGTCGTCACTCTAGTTAATATATATATATATATATTGATGCGCATTTACTCCTTTATTTTGCCAACTGATTTTTATTTTTATTTTTAAAAAAAAGATGCTCAAGCAAGCAAGCTTCCCGGGAAAAAAATGAGCAGGAGGAATATTACAAGTAAACGTTTTTCTTTTTTAAAGGTGGTGGTGGTTGTGTGCACTGTTTCTTGTTTATTACTTTCAATTTTTGTATTTACTTATTTTTTAGGAGTCGTGTTGATACTGTTGACAATGATGACAACAAAGATGAAGTATGAAAATGACTTTTTCATTAATTAACAACAATTTTCAATATTCTCACTAAATTTCTCTTAAATTTTCTTTTAGAGTCCATTAGTGATAAACTTTAGTGAAGTGCTAGACGAGGATCCATCTTTTGGTTCCGATATTAATAATGTACGTATTTTACTTATTTAATTATTTACACCAATAATAACAATAATAAAAACTATATAATATTATAATCAAAACAGGATTTAAAGATGATATATCCGGACCTTATTAAAATTTATAAAAAATCATCTGATTGGTAATGTTTTGGCATTACATTTATGTTACTTAACATAAAATATTACTAATGTTACTATTGTTTTATTATATTAATAATAGTGATTTAATCCATATGGCAATAATTGATTTGGAAGATGATAAAAAAATGAAACAATTCCATTTAAAAAAATTTCAAAAATGTTCAAAAAAAATATTATGAAATAATGAGATAAAATTAAATGATGGTGAGAAAATGTTGGATACCATCAAAGGCATAGAAAAAATTGAAGACACTATAGATTTTGTAACAAACTTCAGCTCAATGAGTAATTTAAAGTTAGATTATCAATCAACGATCAATGATTTTATATATTCCATTGTCAAAACTTTGTATGTCTAAAATTTTTATTATTTATTTTAGTAAAACATAAATGATCATTAATATAATTTTTTCTATTTAGTGCTGGCTATTTTGTTTTAAATGAAAATTATTTTAAAGAAATATTACCTGAATACCATCTAGGAGCAACAATACATGTTCAAATTTTTATGAATTTGTTTAGGGATAAAAACTATATAGTATGATACAATGAGTAAGCACTAGTTTCCAAATTTTAGATCTTATTTACAGTGTGTAATGAAAAAAATTGACCTCCGATGATGCAAAATTCAAAAGCATACAGTTTCACGAATAAGCAACAAAATCCCATCCAATTAAATCAAACAATCATACTAAACCCCTGTGTTGTAAAAACAAACTTTTTGAACCATCAATCTTAGTTTTGTCAACATAAAAAAATGTCATCAAACAAGCTCGATTTGCAACGTTCAACACTTCTTTATTATTGGAACCAAGGAATACATTCTCCAAAGGAACTTCACACAAAAACTAATATTCACCTATCAACAGTCAATATAATATTAAAAAAATAAAAGAAACCAGAGATGTTTCACATAAGGGAGGTAATGGCCATCTAAAAAAGATAGGATCAGCAATGATGCATGAGCTTGAGCAATACATTTGCAATGACAGTTCCACATCTTTGCGAACCCTGGCAATAAAATTATCCAATAATGAAAATTCTGTATTGCATATGGCTGTAACGAGAAGATTGAAAGAGCTTGGCTACAAAAATGCACTTCCAACTGGTACCCCAATGCTCACTGTTAATCACAAGGCAAGGCAAGTTGAATGGGCTAGGAATCACCTAAATGATAGTTGGGAAAGGACCTTGTTTTCTGACAAAACAGCCTTCCATCTGTTTAGGAACACAATAAAATGATGGTATAGGGGTCCAAAACCTATTCGGCCACTTCCTAAAGACTGACAAAAAGTCTTTGCCTGGGGTGGGTTTTGTGTTAAAGGGAAGACTAGCTTGTTTTGCTTCACTGAGATTATGAATGGAGAGTTTTATGTTGAAATTTTACACCAGCACCTTCCAGAAATCAGAAGGATGCTTGGTAGGCAGTGGAGATTCCAACAAGACAATGACCTGAAGCACACTAGTCGGGTTGCCAAAAATTTCCTTGATGAGTACTTCCCTGAAGTCATCGATTGGCCAGCTAACAGCTCAGACCTTAATCCCATAGAAAACCTATGGAGCATTGTTAAACGTAATGTAGAAAAGCGTATGCCAGCAAATATTAGCGAGTTGCAGCAGTATTTGGTTGAGGAATGGGAAAAAATCCCAAGTTCTATGTTGTCTAACCTTGTTTCGTCAATGAATAATCATTGTCAGATGATAATTGATAGTAACAGCGAACGAATCAATTATTAATATATATATCAATAAATTTCTTGGTTTTAGGCTATACATGCAGCCCAAAGTATTTTGACACTGTCATAAAGGGGGTTACACATGTCATAAAGGGGTGTTACACTTATGTTTTTAATAGTGAGTGCTGTAATTAATTTCTACTTTATACCATCAAAATTGGAATAATGTTGACCATTGAAATCACCAAACCAATTTGGGCTGCATGTATACTTCCAACTTGGCAAACTCTTTCATCTGTGAAAAAATTCCATGGTTATGAAGGACATGTATTACATGTTTTGAGGGAGGAAACTTATTATATCTGACATAATAATAATAATAAGATATTTATTAAAATCAAGGAACCCTACAACTTGTATACAATTGGGAAGCATAAATGCACACAACATCACCTATGCACACAAAAAAAGGGGAACAAAGTAGAGGTTTAGCCACTACCATTTTCCTACATGGAAAGGAGTCATGAATTAAAATATAGCAAAAAATCATGGGTTTATTTCCACCTTTCAGTACAAACTTATTATGGGTCATTCATTTTAAGGGAAATGAAAATTACCACCCTTCCAGATTTTTTTATGTGTGGCTTTCCAAAATTGGACCCTTAAAAGTTTCATTCTGCATGGTCCTAGCTAGTATTTTTATTATTACTTTGGTGATGCAATTTATCAGATTTGTTTATTTATTAACTCTTTTGCAAATTTAAGAAAAATAGTGCCAAGTGTATTGTATAATCATTATGAACATTGTAATAGACATATACAATGGTGGATACAAAAGTATTATTTATGTACAAGGAAAGGATTAAATAACAACAAAAGGTAAGTAATAATTTGTTTATTTTGATTTATTATAAATATTTAAAAATAATGATAAAATTTCATAACTATAGTACAAATTTAGAAATTACATCTAGAAATCCAAAATTTGATTGGATAATAATGTTACACCGATAACACTGGGTACGATGTCACATTATATTGGTAGTACAATTATGATAATTTACTAAATTTTGATCCCTGAAATTTGTGATAAAATTGTTCACCATCCAGTTTTGTTACAGTATGCCCCATATTAATATTAATATCATATCTCTTTAAAAAAAAGTTTTAAAAGGAAACAAAAAATACTAAATAAAAAATTTTTTATAAAAAAAATTTTGATAAATAAATCTGTTTTCTTTTTTAAATTTTTTTTTACTAGTGAATTATTGTTAGCTAACTAAGTATTTAACCAACAAAAAACCCAACAAACAAACAAACAAATATAGAGCCTCAACTTACACACACAAATAAAAAATTTTTACCCTCTATCGGATACAAACATATATATATATATATAATACATACATATATATATAACTTATAATACAACACGCACATTTTTATATATATAAATAAATACAAATTATAATCATGGGTTCATACGAGCACGACACACAACGAACTAATAATAATAATAATCATCCGTCAACAACAGGTGTTAGTAAGAAAAATAAAAAAACAGTAAGTGTAGCAGATATAGCAGATACTGAAGAAGTAAAAAAGTTGAGATCTCTCTATAAAGACAAATTAGCGACATTACAAGAAATGTTTGAAGATTGGACAGAAGCAGATTTGCTGTTCACTTTAAACGAAGCTGAAGGTGACATCGAACTCACAGTTAGTCGAATCAGTGATGGTTTGTTTTTTTTTCTTTTAAATTTTTAATTACCATCACTATCATCTACATATTAAATTTAAGATTTTCAAATTTATAATTTTATTAAATATTAAATTAATGAGATTATAACTATAAAAAATTTTTTTAAAGAAGGCTTTAAAATAAATAAATAAATGATTAATTAATTTTATCTCTTTTTAAAATATAAATAAAAGGTCATACAAGTCAATGGGGTGAAGTTAAATCTCGTAAATCTAAAAAAGATCATAGCAATAAAACCAAATCTACCGGACAACCTGGTGTTTCTCAACGTGGTAGTGCTGGTAGTGGTGTTGTTACTAATGTTACCGGTAATAGTGGTAATGTTGGTCATAATAATGAACCACAACAACATCATCAGCAGCAACAACGTAATATTGTTGGAGGTAATGGAAGATCTCGTGGTCGTGGTGGAAGAAGAGATGATCGAACTAATAGTAGTAGTCGAGCTATAAAAAAAGAAAATGGTTCAGGTATGTTTTAGTGTCAAACAAAATTAAAGTCAAAATTAATAATTAAATAATCAATTAAATAATAATGATTAAATAATAACAATAAAAGGACATGGTCGAACTTCACGTCAACATCCAAATGGACCCAGTTCTTCTTTTCATCACAACGAAACAAGTAACGGTAACCAATTCAAATCATCTACCACCAACGATTCTAATTCTTGGGGCAACAATGATTCGTCTGGTGGAGGAAATAATTGGTCTTCAGATGCTAACAATGACGAATTCCTTACTAATAATGATTGGAATTCTAATGAGACAAAAAGTTGGGGCGATACCGAACCAACCTTCATTACTAAATCTACAAAAAACGAAGTAGTACCTTCATCATCACAGAATACTGCTACTAATTGGTCATCAACAATAGAATCAAAAACTGAAGGTAGTTGGGGAGATGAAGATATCAACATATCTACTACAACAACTGCTACTTCCTCTAATGATTTCTCCAAGGATGACTCTAATCTTAATAAAGATGGTTGGGCATCATCATCTTCAGATACTCATCATAACTCCAATGAGTTACGGGTATCTGATAATTGCAACAATAATAAAAATTCTAGGGATTTTTCAAAATCATACAAAAATTCTACTACATCGAAACCTTACTCATATTCATCATCTACACCTACTCCTAGTTCTTCTAATAAATCACCAGTACCGCCTAAATCACGGACAATACCTCCTCAGTCCAAAACTTCTTGGGCTCAAATTGTGAAGTGTGTTTTCAATCATATTTTCATTAAAAAAATTTTTTTTATAATCAAAAATTTTTTTTAAATAAATCATATAGTAACAAATCAAATAATTTTTTTTTTCATTATTCTCATTATTCTCATTATTGTGCAAATTTCTTTGTTATACCCCAAATATATTTATTTATTTTCATAATTGGGAATCAAAAAAAAACTCCCAAACAATTATATATGATGATTTTATGTGTATATAGGCCTGATCAAAAACCGGAACATAAACCCGAAACAACATCTACTACCCCTATACAGCAACATCATAACAACACTAATACCAAGGGCTCACTTGAAGCAACAAAACCTTCATCACCGAATATATCGAAAACAACTCCACCAATACCGACACAGTCTCCATCAAAAGTTGTTGAACAAGTCATTATAAATGATAACAACAACATAAGTATTAATAATGATTTCCAACAAGAAACCATTTCAACGACTTCTACTCCAGAAATTGCGATCTCTGAAATTGAAGAAACTAAAAAAAAATCACCTCCAGCATCATCACCATTGTTAAATAAGGAAGTTTTGACCCCACCATCAAATGCTACTGGAATATCAAACATCTTATCAACTTCTGCTACAAATACACCATCATCGCAGCCATCATCACCTACGCCTACATCTAATTCACTACAACAACAAACAACACCTTCACCTTCCTTATCTGCTGCAAATGCAACTACTATTAATAATAATATTGTTTCTAATACCACAACCACTTCCATTCCTTCATCTGAACAAGAAAACATCGCCAATTCCACTAATACACCCATAATATCATCATCCTCATCATCCTCATCATCACCAATAGTGACTTCTGTTTCACCACGTGCAAAAGAAATCATACCACACAGTCTAAAATCAAAAACAACTACTACTGCACGTCGACTCAAACAAGATGCCCCTGTTGTAATGCCTACTAATGGAACTGGTGTAGAAAGAGTCGGTGTTCAATTTGGTAGTTTAAGTTTATCAGAAACTTCTGAGGAACAGGTAGAAATGGTCGAAAATGATCTTTCATCTCTTGCCCATCAAGATGAACTTTCTAATTCTTCTACAGTTGTTGAAACTCAACAATCACAATCTCCACCACCACAACAGCAATCCCAACAACCGCTTAACCACCATCAAATTACTTTACCAGCTCAACAACAAGTTACACAACAACAGCAGTTGCAACAGCAACAACAGTTACATCAGCAACAGCAACAGCAACAACAACAGCAACAGCAATTACATCAGCAACAACAAACACATCAACAACAATTACAAGCGGTTCAAATACAATTACAACAACAAACCTCCAATCAACAGCAGCAACAAACTACACAAGTACAAACACAATCTTCTAATTCATTATCTCAGCCAACTTCTATTAATCGCCTACCTACATCCAGCTCATCTACCTCATCCACACAACAACAACAACCATCATCTATCAACAGCAGTGCACCATCAAGTGTGCCAACAAATGCTTCATACTTGAAACAACAACAAGAACAATCTGCCGCTACTGCATATTTAAATCAACATCATTTGGGAGGAATAGAGCCAATAAGTGCTCCCTATACTTCTTACATAAATCAACCACCAAATCAATTGTCACAATTTGGTATTGGACCTATTCAACCTGATTATGCTACATTATATCCTGCTGAAGCTCAGCGAGGAGTAATGGTAAATTTACTGATCAATTAATTAATATATATATTTATATGTATGGTAATTGATAAATTAATAAATAAACCTTTAACTTTAATGCTAACAACAATATTATTAATAGGGATATTATGCAGACCCTTCATATCCACAAGCCTTGCTCGTTACATCTTCAGTAGGTGGATTTCAAGGAAGAGACAAGTATTCACAAGAAACACCTAGCAATTCATCATCCACACAATCTGTCAGTCAACAAACAACAGGAACACAACAATCCACTAATCAACAAAATCAAAATCCACAACAACAACAAACATATCCTGTTAGTGTACCATATTTTCATCTGTACTACTATATGACAAACCAATTTCCTTCTGCCTATCAGCAATCTGGTTATGACCAACTGTTAGTAAATGTAAATAAATCAATGTGGATTGGCATCAGGTGCATCACCTTATGGTTACCCCACGACCCCTACTACTCCCAGCACACCTCATTACTCAAACACCAGATATGATGAAATGTCTCCTCTGATACATCATCTTCCTGGTGCAGTGCCTAATGTTCACAATTATCAGAAAACTTATGGAGGAGGCAGTGGTATGCCACCAATTAATTTCTTGGGTAATGCAGGAGGTGTTAATAGCAATCCACAACCTTCCTCTGCATCAGGTGGATCAAATACCACTACATCATCAAAGACTGGTAACAATAATTCAGACTTGAATCCTCAAGGCCAATACAAATCTTATCAGGATAAAACTTCTGCATCAGGCCAACAACAGTCTTCGGGGGTTGGTCAATCTGGTGCAATACAGCATCAACAACAATCTAGCACTCCCAATTATTATAGTCAACAACAAGCTCAACAAGTGTTTAATAGTTATCAATATCTACAAAACCATCAATACCACCCTCATCAAGCACATCATCAAGGTGCCAGAAATCGTAGTCAATACTGGAATCAAAATTAAGAAAACTATTTTGTTTGATGATGATTTATTTATTTATTTATTTTTATCCTTTTTGTTGCTAGGTTTTATATTATCAAAAAATTGATTTTGTGCATTAAAATATGATGTTTTTTCTTTGCTGTAAGATCTTCTTGATGTTTTGGGTAATTAATCATTGTGGTGGATATGGATTAAAATATTAATAGTAATTAGGATGTGGAAGAATTATGATGTAGTATAGTGGTAGTAGTAATTATGGCAAACAGGTACATTTATTAATTATTTGTCAAAACCTATTATTGCATTAATTATTATGTGAATATTTTATTTTATAAAGATTTTTGATAATTATTTTATATTATTTTATATTAATCATTTGTTTTTTTTTTAAAAAAAAAGGACATAAAAATACATATCATAATTTTTTTTTTCATAATAATAATAATATTTTTTATATATATTTTTTATTTTATTTTACTTTTAATAAACAATTCTAAGAACTATTTCCTTTTTTTTCTTTATTAATTGTGTATAAATTTTTTTATTAATTAAATATATTAATTGCTACCAATATTGCAAAATATATATCATAATAAATATGTATTAACAAAATTATAGTTAAACAATCAAAAAAGTCTTTCTTTATACTGATTCTTGAACTTCTGGTTCTTTGAAATCTTTAGCACCTATTTTAGAACCAGTATCAGCACTATCACCATGTAATTCCATTAATTTTTGTACATCAAATTTAGGACTTTTAAGAATTTTTACTTTACGAATATAAGCCTATATTATAAAAAAAATTTTTTTGGGAGGTTTTTTTTATTTGTTAAAATATATAAAAATACATATTTCAAATAATAATAGTAATAATAAATGCTTACATGTTGAAGAGGATAAATTCCTTGGCAAGCTTTTGTAATTTCAAGACCAATTGATTCAGGTACAAATTTTTCTACTAAACCTTTCAAATCTGCACTAGTAGCCTGAGCAGTCATAATGTCAAACATTTTTTTACGAATTTGACGAATTTGTGAAGTTTGTGCATATGTGGTTTTACGAATTTGATTTGGTCGCCTTTTTGTGAAAGCAATTGCAAATAAACGAAGTAAATATCCATCTGTTGTCTTGACATCAACATGTGCTTCAATCAAAGTCTAAAATGATTTTTAATAGGTAAACAAAATAAATAATTAAATAATTAAGTAAAAATTGAATTATTTGATTAGTAATGCCAAAAATAGATGTATATAAGCAAGAAAATCTTTTTTTTATATATATATTTTACCTGCCATTTTCTGACCAAAGATCTAAGCTTATCAGATGTAAAATCCATTCCATGAAAATTCGTTAATAAATTTCTATCTTGTACTTCATCCACTCTTAATTTGATTTTTCTATAAGCTTGTTCTTCATCTTGATTTAAATCAGCTAATGAAATTTCAAACACACGACCTTTTAATGCATCATCAGCATTTTCTATTTTAAATGAATAAATAAATATTTATATAATTGTTATAATTATTATGGTTCAATTTATTGAAAAGCTAAGCTAAAAAATCATTATCAATGCATTACTTACTTAAACCTTGCGTACGGTTAACGAGTGTTTTACCAACATTTCTAACTAAAAACATTGATGGAGCTTTCACATCATACCAATCTTTACGAGTAAATGGATCAACACTATGATATTATAAATATTTAAAAAAATTGATTAGATTAAATTAGAAAAACTTTTTTTTTCCATCGATACATTAATCATTAAGAAGTATTAATTAACATTAATTATTAAATATTGATTATTCAAAAACACACATTTTTTTCTTTAATCCTTTTTTTCCTTTGCTAAGACGTTTATTCTATTTTATTCAATAAAATAATAAATTGATGTTATTTAACCAATCAATTAAACCAAAAAAAAATAGATGAATGAATTGAAGAAATGAACGAAATTTCCGATTTACCTTGCCAACAGCTATTATTATTATTATTTAGTAATTGACAGTTAAAAAAATTTTTTTCAATAATAATGGAAAAATTTTAATTGAATTTCTTTTTAATTAATTGAATAAATTGAATTTACTTACCCATTTTAATACACTACAGAATTATAAATAAAAAAAGCTTGTCAATTAAGAAAGAATATTAACAAAAAAAATTTTTTCTAAAAAAAATCTCGATTTTTTAATTTAACAAGTTTTGTAATCGAGGATGTGCAAGTGAGCAGAGAGACCGTTCTGGGAACACAAAATTTTAACCCACGCAATTTGGTGATTGACCAATTAAAATCGTGAATTTGATAACGTAGAAATAAATATGGGTTTGATTCATTTTGTCAACAATCCAATTATTTCGTTAACAAATGGTTCGAATTTAAGAAGTTGGAAGCAACCATGCGACAAGCCATTGAAACAGTCTAATAAATTAAATCGTACTACTCGAAAATGTATTTAAAGGGTTGGTTTTTGACTTGGTTGAAGAATAACTCTCTTCCTAAATCTTCTCTCTCGATATAATCAAAATAACCTTAACATAACGAATTTCAATGAAATGATCGCAAACACAACGAAATTAAGGTACGAAAAATGAACAACGCATGAAAAATCAAACAAATGTTACATAAAACAACATCTTCTGTCCACGTTACCTTCACTAAGTTGTTGTTCTCAGTTTCTTTCCATTTATTGCCTTTCAGTTGACGAAATTTAGCTGATTTAGTGGTTTTAAATTCCGTGCAACGTTTAATTTCAGACATTTTTTCTTCGAGCAAATCGTATTATGAAAGCTGTGAGATTCAAATTTGTGTAATTATTTACACATGATTTATTGCTACGTAATACCCTTGTAAAAGTATTTTAAACTGTATAAAAAAAATTGAAATCAAATTGTGAAAATTCATTCCTTATATAGGACGGAAGTGAGCATGTGGAAAAAAAAAAATCAAATGACGCACATTGATCGATGGCATTTTTTCAGAAAAAAAAGTCAAAGATAAAGAAAGGATAAGCCAAAGTATTATTGTGTTATTTTTTATTTATCGTTTTATCGAAAAGAGAGTTGTTGGATTGAAAAGAATTTTGCTCGATCGATAAATACAAACAGTTTATATATCAATCAAAAAAATGACTAACTCACTTAAAGGGAAGAAGGATCACAATCGAAAAAAATGACTAATTCGCGAACGGAACAAAAACTTTGCAACGGCACATTCATTCATTGACCAAATGTGATTTTTATTACGCGACGACTGTATTTAATTAATAATCATATACTTTAGTACTAGCGTAATTTTTGTTTGTTGTATATACAGTTCACTCTCTCTATAACGGCCCGCCTGATTTGGCAAAAAAAGGCCGTTATAGAGAGAGACCGTTATAGAGAGTTTGCAGATCATAGTCATAATGTGTTACAATATAAAGATTTTTATTTTGTACGATAAAATATATTTAAAAAATAAATGAAATAAATGAAAGTAAACTATTTATAATTTGCATACTTATTCAATATTAAAAAAGCCATCTAGTGTGGATTGTTGTTGTGAGTTAAAATCAATTTTTTTAATTTTTCTTTTCAATAATTTAAAATTATCCTCATTTAATTCTGATTGTTTGTTGGTCAATGTAAATTTCTAATGTTTTTATTGCTGACAAGGCCTCTTTATTTGTAACAGGTGGAAGTTCTTCGATTATTTCTTCCTGGCTTTCATTTTTCTCTGGTGGATTAATTATTGGTAACTATGTCATTTAGATTTTTTCTTCACTTACACATGAGTCATCAATTTCAATGTATTCAGACGCAGATATAGGATTAGGAAGTGCAAAGTTCATCAATCAAATTTTGCAAATCATTGAGCTCTCTTACATTCAATAAATTTAAAATTGATGACATATTTTCAATTTCGTTGGAATTAATATCATAATCAGGTAAGATACCAGATTTTTTCCAGCAGTTAACTATAGTTTTGACTGGTAACTTTTTTCCAAGCTTTTGCTGTAAATTTAATTGCATGTTTTAATTGAAATTTTTTCATATTCTTGACCATTTCTCACTTCTTCATAATCACCAACTTTTTTTTGCAAGAAAAATTTTTTGTAGTTCACCTTGAAGCTGTTGATTATCCCGGCATTACATTGTTGTAAAAATGTTGTTATGTTTGGTGGTAAGAAGTAAACTCTTACATTAGTTAAATTTGTTGAATTCAGAAATAGAGTGAGTGGGAGTATTGTGACAGACAATAAGCGCGTTCAAATTATTAATAAATAATTGAGTGTGACACACTCAATTTCTTAATTTGGTAATGATTACCTCAGATCATGATCGTCAACCGTTATAGACAACATATGATAATGTCCAGACTGGCCGTTATACACTATAGGAAATTTAATTAAGAAAACCGTTATAGAGTAAGGTTTTTATATAGTAAAAAATTGGTTTCTGATTTACAGTGCGTTATAGAATGGAGGCCGTTATAGAGAGAGTGAACTGTAATAATAAAATTAGTGCAACATTTTGAATGACCATTATGCTGCACAAACCTCAAGACCAATAAATCATTTCGACCACCAAATTATTTTCCATTTAATTATTAAGAATAGATTACAATGGTAAATTTTAAGATGATCCGGCTCAACTAATTAAAGCACAAAATCAAATAAAGCAACCAGCCATTCATTCATAAACTTTATCAGATAATTTCAAACAAGCAAACTTAGAGCAATCAAGCAATCGCTGCTTTTTAAAAGATTATCGATCCTTTCGTTGGCTCTTTCGGCTTTCTTTTTCGCTTGCTTGGTTTCTTCTTTGTTCCGTTCAATTTGCTCTTCTGAATTCTTAATTTTTGGCTATGTTTCTTTAAGTTACTCACATTCACAATCAATAACAGTTTACTCAAACAGTGGAGTGTTTGATATATTACCAATTTTTATGCAATTTAAAGGCTTTATCTTTAGTATATTCTGGCATCAAAACCGAATATTTGAAAGATACTTTATTGCCAAATCTTGAATCTATGACATTAT